GGACATAACCATCATTACCTTCCAAGTGCACAATTAAACAGCATGACAAGGGCAACGCGTCTCATGGAATGCACGGTACGGCATACCATGGCATGGGAGAGCACAGCAATGTTGGCCTATCACTTTGCGTTGAGCTGTTGTATCAACAACTTCTGTTACACATGCGCCCGACAGGGCTGCTCCGCACGACACAGTGCTATGTCAGACTGTACTACACTACGCCACACTACACAGCACCACATCACATGTTTGGCCTATATCCCTGCACTAGGTGGCATGATTGCGAAGCGCACCGCAATGATCATGAACACTCTTAGTGCTCTCATGGTATGCGCAGCCGCGCATGCCAGATAGACAAATGCACGAGAGGACGGGGAAGAAGAGGGAGCAGCCTGGGGGGGCGAGCAGGAAGAGAGGAAAGCGAAGGAGGACGCGGCGCAGGAGAAGGGAGGACAACGATTAGGACGACGGCCATGACAATAAAGACGTGGACGGGAGGATGATGAGTAGAAGGCGGTGGAGTAGGACACTGACAAAGATGATGACAAGGTGGAAGGCAGGGAAGGAGGAGGAACAAGGAGAAGGAGGACAGGGAAGGAGGAGGAGGAGGAGCAGGGAGGCAGGGAGGGAGGAGGGGGCGGAGCGGAGGGGGGAAGAGGGGAAGGATGAAGGGGGGGAGGAAGAGGAGGAGCACGAAACCCAAGACGCATCAACGATGTTGCAATAAGCCCTCCCTCCAAGTCTCCTCTTCACAGGTTCCTACCAGAATCTATTTTCACTGCGGGACGTGCCCTATTGGAAGATAACCCTTCAAGAATCGTCAACCGTGCCAGAACACCATTCCTGGAACTTCAACACCGCGAACCAAGACCTGCCAGTCCTTGATCGTGTCAGAGTACCCTTCCTGGGACTTCAGCACCGCGAACCAACGTGACTGTTGTATCCTGGCAGTCCTCCGCCGTGCCAGAACACCATTCCTAGATCTTCAACAATGCGAACCTGCGAAACTGCTGCAAGCTTTTGAGACGGGTGTGCGCAACACACGCAACAGCGACAATCACATGCTGTGAAGGAGCCGAGCCGCCCACCAAACGGTGGAACTGTGGAAAGCTTTGTCAGACGAATGTGCGCGGCGCTGAAGAGAGAACTATACTGTGAAGAGAACCGCCCCGCATCCGTGAAACTGCTGCAGACGTGGAAGGTGAATGTGCGCGGCACTGAGGCGAGAGCCGCATTTTGAAAACGACACGCCCCTCCATCATTGAAGTAATTGCTAACGTTTGCGACGAATGTGCGCGGCGCTAAATCGAGAGCTACATGTTGAAAACGACCCGCCAATTTTCTCCCTTGAGCACTTTCAAGACGAATGAGCGCGGCGCTGAAGCGAGAGCAACATTTTGAACACGATCTCAATCCTTGAACCCGGTACAATTTTCAAGCTAGTGCATCATAAACGGTAAAGAAGTTTCAGGCGAAACGCTCGGCCCGCCCTACTTACACGTCTGGGGGCACGGCAGGGATGAATTATCTAGACGGGAAACGGATAGAGGATCAGGACGAGGAGTGCCCCTGCCAAGAAGGTCACGTGGGCAAGTGGATACTCTTGTGTTATCATCGAGCTCACTATTTGCAGAATGATGGTGTCGCGCGCGTCAGCCGAAGCATGTGTACTGGCACTCCTTGAGTGGTGCGCATCGGAACTGATGCCGGGTGACCCCTGGAGCCTTATCCTCCTCCTCATCATCATCACCACCACCATCATCACCACCACGATCATCATGATCGTGATCATCATCATAATCATCATCATCATCAGCATCATCATCATCATCATCATCATCACCATCATCATCTTCAGCATCATCAGCATCATCAGCATCATCAGCATCAGCATCAGCATCAGCATCATCATCATCATCATCAGCAGCAGCATCATCATCATCATCATCATCATCATCATCATCACCATCACCATCACCATCATCATCATCCTCCTCCTCCTCCTCCTCATCATCATCATCATCATCATCATCATCATCATCATCATCATCATCATCATCATCATCATCATCATCATTTTCTCCTCATGATCCTCCTCCTCCTGCTCCTCCTCCTCCTTTTCCTTCTTCTCCTCCTCCTCCCCCTTTTCTTTTTTCCTCCTCCTCCTCCTCCTCCTCTGCCTCCTCCTCTGCCTCCTCCTCTGCCTCCTCCTCCAACTATTCCTCCTCCAACTATTCCTCCTCCTCCTCCTCCTTCTCCTCTCCCTCCTCCTTCTCCTCCTCCTCCTCTTCGCTCCTCCGCCTCCTCCTCCTCCTCCTCCTCCTGCTCCTCCTCCTCCTCCCAACCCAGACATGCGACGTCCTGATTTGTTCAATGCGAGGTCCCTGGAAGTCCCGACCTTTCTCCGTTTTTCGGTTTCATTCTGAATAATTTTCTGACGCTCCCGGGGCCCTGCGAGGGCCCCCCGAGGCCGAAAACGGCCCCACACCTCGGGTTCTGATGTTCTGTTGTTTCCTGACGACGCGATCATGCCTGGGGCTTCTCGCCGCCCCCCCCCCTGCGGCGCGCCGTCGCCCTGAGCGCCGCGCCACCGCGCGGCCCCCGGGCCTGGCGGCCTGCCGCCGGGGCGGCACGTCACGACGGACAGCCGGGGCGACGGCTGGGCTCCAGGGCCGTCCTCAGGGGGGCAGCCGGCGGCGACGACGACGACGCCGACGACCATCTTGCGAACATGTGGTCCGACACGCTGAGTTGACCTTCGCGCGTGTACCCCCCTCCCTGTTGTGCCCGCCCACTCAGTCTATGAGCCAACCCCTTTGCAGGGGGGGTCCTTCTCATACCAGCTCCCGAGAACACCATTCAGCAATGCACTTTGCGCACGCCCCGGGCCGACATGGCCGTCATGCGAGCTAACGCGCCCGCGGGCAGTGCACCAACTTGAGTGAGGTGCGGGGAAGGCTCGGCAGACAAACGCCGTTCCTGAGTTTGGGCGCCTCCGGGGCGTCTCAGAGAAAGTAACTGAGCTGTGAGGAAGTGTCGAGCGGGAGGCCAATGCCAGTGTCGTCTCAGCTCGGCTCTCACAGCATGCAGTGAATTGCGAGGACGTCTCGGGCGAGAGCGCCATTGCTGAGGGAATGCATACGACCAGGGCGTCTCGGGAAAAATTGTGAGGAATAATTGAGCGGGAGCCGCTGTCGTCGCTGCTGGGCCTCCAACAACTTCATTTGCAAGGAAGTCTCAAGCGAGAGCGCCGTTCCTGAGTTTGGGGCATTTTCTGGCCAGAGCGTCTCAGAGTAAATTGCCAGGAAGTATCGAGCGGGAGCCATTGTCGTCGTACTTGGACCTCCGCCCACTCGGCTGATTTGCGAGGACGTCTCGAGCGAGAGCGCCGTTCCTGGGTTTGGGGCTTCTCTGGCCAGGGAGTCGAGCAAACTGGCAGAAAGTGTCGAACGGGAGACGTTGTCGTCGTAGCTGGGCCTCCAACAACCCAGGACGACGACGACGACGACGACGACGACGACGACGACGACGACGACGACGACGACGACGACTACGATGACGACGACGGAGGCTCCGCCAGGGGGGCCAGGCGTCGATCCAAGACATCCGCGCGGGCCTCGGAAAATTGACCTTATGCCGCTTATGCTTGCCTTCGTCTCCGTCGCCGTCGTCGTCGCCGTCGCCGTCGTCGCCGTCGTCTCCGTCGTCGTCGTCTTCGTCGTCGTCGTCGCTGTCGCCTTTCTCGAGTGTTGCTCGCCGAGGGTGCCCGCAGGATTTCAGGGGCGGCCTCTTCAGCACCCCCTCGCGAGGCCCAGGGTGTCCCCTGGGGCCCTCCCCCTTCCCTTCCTCCTCCTCCTCCTCCTCCGCCTCCTCCATCCCATCCCTGTCGCACCCCCAGTTGTGTCGATAGGGAGGGGCGGGCGTTTCGCTTGAGACCCCCTCACCGTTTACGATCCTGAAACTTGACAGTTGCAACACTTTGACTGGAGGGCGGCTCGTTTTCTTAACGTGACTCGCACCTCAGCGCCGCGCACGTTCGTCTTAAAAGTTTGTAGCAGCTTCACGGATGGAGGGAGGGATGTTTTCGCATTGCTGCTCTCGCCTTAGCGCCGCGCGTAGTCGCCGTAAAAGTTTGCAGCCGTCTCATGGATGGAATGCGATTCCTTTTCGAAATCCGGCATGCCTTCGCACCGCGCACACTCGTTGTAAAAGCTTGCGGCAGTTTCAAGGATTCGTATGGCTGGAGTCACTCGTTGATTCGCAGTGCTGGAAGCCCAGGAGCAGTTTTCTGGCAAGACGCAGGACTGTCAGGACGCAGCAGTCCTGCTGTTTCACAGCGCGTGGAACTTCTAGAAACTCTGCTTCAGCACGACTGGGGTTTCTCGGACGATTGTCTTACAAAGGGGCGATTCCCGCAACTCGGATACCTGATTGTAGAACTTCTGGGGGGGAGTAATGTGAGGCGGGGTTTATAACAACATCGTGAATGCGTCCTCGGCTTACACTAGTCATCCTCCTCCTCCTGCTCCTCCTCCTCCTGCTCCTCCTCCTCCTCCCCCTCCTCTCCCCCTCCTCCTCCTCCTCCTCCTCCTCCTCCTCCCCTCCCCTACCTCCTCCTCCTCCCTCCTCCTCCTCCTCCTCTCCCACCTCCTCCTCCTCCTCCTCCTCCCCCTCCTCCTCACCTTCTCCCTCCTCTCTCCTCCTCCTCCCCTCCTCCTCAGTCCTCAGCATCAGCATCAGCATCATCAGCATCATCATCATCATCCAACACCACCACCAAACCATCATCATCATCAGCATCATCAGCATCACAATCACCATCCCATCACCATCACCATCACCATCATCATCATCATCATTCATCATCATTCATCATCATCATCATCATCATCACACCACCACCCCACCACCATCATCATCATCATCATCATCATCATCATCATCATCATCATCGTCATCATCATCATCAGCATCATCATCATCATCACCATCACCATCAT